GAGGAAGAAAATGGGGAGATGTAGTCAGAGGATACAAAGCAGCAGATACGTAGAAGGAACAAGGCTAGAGACCTCGTGTACAACCTGAAGACTATAAATACCATACAATACCATTGTATAGTATTTGGGGTTTTTCATAAATAAGTAGATTTTTGTCACACAGAAAAGTAACTATGTGAGATAACAGATATATTAATTTTCTTCATTATAGCAACCATTATACTATCTATACATATCCTATAACATTATCTTGTAATCCTCAAATATACACAATAACAAGTATTTCACATAAAAAAAACCCTGCTACACAAGACAGTGTTCCCTAATTCTTTCTCAGATAATGCACTTCATTTGCAATTCAGGAAGCAGACCCCCTATTTCTTAACACCACTCACCCCTTTTTTCAAATATTTTCTTAAGTTCAAGGAGAAGAAATGCAGCTGAGACTTGCTAACCACAGAGCCCAGGACGTTCGTGAGTGCACAAGGCTATGCCGAAACAGAGTGGATCGTGTCACACACAAAAATTAAAATCTAAAGCAACTTAGACACAATTCTCAAAGTTGGGTAAAGCGTGAGTTCCTTTGGTGAAGTCCACACTGAACTGAAAGAGCTCCCATCACATGTCAAGAGGCATGTCCACCTCCTCCACCAATGCAGAGATCCTCCTCCACTCAGCTCTGCACTGTCACCCTCGGGGACCCTCTCACACACACCCCTACACAGGCACCAGCCATAGGATTCTGTTAAAGTCAAGGGAGAGGTTAATATAGTAGAAAACCCACTGCTATGGAAGCTGGAAGCTCCCATTAACCCTGCCTGTGACCCTCCTCTCCTCCCCGTCTTGGATGCCCTTAACTCTTTAGCTGGAGGGAAAAAGTAGGAGAGACTACAGTAGTCTTACTGCCTCGGATCAGGGGTTTTCAAATTTTGTTTCACGTTGTTTCATTTGTTTGTTTTAATTTTTGTTTTAAAAGCAGGGTGATTTTTTTTTTTCCCCAGCATAAAAATGACACATACAACAGTACAGAAATCAAAGTGGAGCTGGGGAGACAGGAGCTGCCTGCTCAGCCCCCCTTGCTCACCCTCTCTGGGCACTGGGACTTCTGCTCTTGACTGCATCAGAGGCCCCAGTTCTTCACCATTCCTGCACCCATGCCCTTAGCCATGTGGCTTTTGTCCCCTCTCATTCTGAGCTTGACAGAATATAACACAAGCAGAAGTTTAAAAAGCACATGCATCTTCCGGCAAGCCCTCTGTGCTTCTGCTGTCACCACGGGAGCATGGCCGGGCTAACCTGCTGGAGGATAAGACACAGGGACAGAGCTGAGTCCTCACTATCATCCCAGTTGGAGCCAAGAGCTGGCCAGCCACTGTCAGCTCAGGCCAGCCTAAAGTAGCAGATCCTCGCAGACACAAGAGCTCGGTGAATGTCTATTGTTGAGGCCACTGAGATTTGTAATTGCTATTATACAGCATTATTGTGTCAATAGATAACTGATACTGCCACTGGCACAGGAATGGGGTGTTATTGAAACAAAAACTGAAAATTTTGGCATTGGTTTTGAGATCAGCAAATGGGAGGCAAAGATACAGTTAGAAGAGTCTGGAAATAGTTGAGAAAACTGTTAGGAACGCTGGGGGTGGGGATGAGAAGAAAGCTGCTGTAGATAACAAAAAAGGCAATCCATATTAGCAGTGTCAGAACATTTGATAAAACTGTCATCTATGCTAACTTTGAAGGTAGAAGTTGTGACCAATAAACATTTTAGTGGGTTTGGAGAACTCTAGGCAAAATGCTAAAAAAACATGGACTAAGAATAAAGATGAAGGGTGTGGCTGGGCAAAGTTTGCTAAGGTCACTGAGGGAGTAACAGTGCCAAGGGACCCTCTCAGGGACAAAAGGGCTTCCAGGAACCTGAGGGGTTGCCACCAGTACCCTGACATTCCCAAAATACCAGTAATTAATTTCGGAGAAGGCAACAGGTCTCAACAAGCGTTGTGGGTGAGGCTTGTGGACCTCAGGTAGGTAAACAGAAAGCCTAGAGTGCTGCATCGGAGCTCCACGGAGAAGGCACCCAGGATGGACTAAATGTAAACAGGCTCTGAGAGCCCAGCTTTCCACAGCAGGAAGCAGGTGGAGAAGTTGCTCAAAAGGCCTATTTCCAAATTACCTCTTCACAGTCTCCTCTGGAAGAGGAAACACTTGGCAGAGAGTCCACTGTAGATGATGGACTGGAGCATTCACAGGAGGCAGACCCAGGGCTGAGCTGAGGAGCATCCCACATCCAGGACCACCCGGCACCACTTGCTGACCACACCCCACACAGCTCAGCCCACAGACTCATGAGCTAAAGGCATGTTTATTGTTGATGCTACTGAGGGTTTACAGGTGTTTGCTATATGCCATTATTTTGTCGATCAATGATTCATTCACACAGTTCCAAGGAACAGAGTTTAAAATGTTCTTGAACTCTTTTTCCCTGGGAGAGGTTTTATGAATTCTTTAAGTAAGCAATGTGTACTTTATGATGACCTTAAAATTAGCGGAGTTCAGGATACGGAAAATGTGGTATATCTACACAATGGAATACTACTCAGCTATAAAAACGAATGAAATACTGCCATTTGCAACAACATGGATGGACCTTGAGAGAATAATATTGAGTGAAACGAGTCAGGCAGAGAAAAAGAAATACAACATGTTCTCACTTATTTGTGGGAGCTAAAAAAAAATAATAATAATAACCTGCCAGCCCATAAGTCGGAAAGTGATAAAGTCCAGTAAGTGAAACAGGAAGCTAATCTCCTTTTAGGAACATATTATGACACCTCGATACAGACCTTTCATCTCAGGAATCATGAGTAATAGCTCCTCAGAAAAGTAACTAAGTAGCTGTAATAATAAAAAAAGTCACTCCATGGATATTCAAATGTGTAAAATTTCATTGGAGAACAGAATGCATGCAAAAAAGTAAGAGGAGCAAAGTGTTCAGCCTTTGATCTGTAGTGTGCACATTCTAAAGGATGTTTTGATTAAACAAACTGAATGCTCAGGACATGAATGATATAACTTAAAGTTTCCATGACAGACGTTCCACAGTATAATGAATCACACAGTAAACCTATTCGTATGCTAATTTTCCATTTTTCCTTCAATAGGAGTATGAAAATCATACCATCTATGTCTTATGAATGTGGCCTAAAGGCTGAAGGAAAGGCTGCTCATTAATTACTGAGGTTTTATGCAGCCATGTGACATGACATCAGCCTCCAGCAGCCTCCAGTGGGTTTTCGGATAATGGATTGCCCTTTCTGCCTCACCGCAATATCGAATTCCTGGGCTTCCTGGGAAGAAGCCCAGTCACTCAAGGGCCAGATGCAATTCATTTGCATGCCTGTGCCTGGCAAAGAACATGTCAAACAACATTAAAAATTCTAGAAACCAACACTCAAACACATAAGTACAGAAGACTAAACAAAGACAAAAAGGAACAGGTGACAGAAGAACACATGAGTCACCAGCCCCTCATCCCTGGCCAAGAGAGCCATGTCCTGGATGTCTGAAAGAAGAGACACAACCATCTACTGAGAATAAGAAGGACTAGAATTTGTACAGATTAAAAAATCAAAATATACTTTGAGGAAATCAGATTCCTTCTACAAATTGGGTATATTTTCACAATGACCACATAATATGTTCCAATTATGCTAGCAAATGCATTTTCGATTATTTTTCTATTAAGCTATGAACGATGATATTTTCATATCGAGCTATAAATCTTCTCAAGTGCGTTACCTGTAAAGGAAGAGAAATTTGAATAAACCACAGCTGAAGGAAAGATTTCTGAACAGTCCACACTATGACTTGAAATTTTCTTCCAGGATTACATTATGAAGAACGACTATTAAAATTTTCTTCAAGGATTCCATTGTGAAGTGCCCATGAAGAACCTTTATTCCACTGAGTAAACCCCCACCAGGCACAAGTCCTTATCACGAGAAGCTTTCCAGGCTCATGTGAACCGTGAAAGTCTGCACCACAGAGTAGGGAGGTGCCCTCCTGGGCTTGTTCCATTCATCCTACAACGGGCTTCTGAGGAGACGCGACACGCGCTCTCGGTCATTCACGTCACTTCCACGCTGAGGCCTCACGCTCACTCTCCCGCAGCTCACTCACCTTCCTCCCACATCCGGCTCTTTTCCAATTTCTCTCTCAGTCGTTCACCATACTATCTCCCCAGTCATGGGGACAGAAAGCTGTAATCTCTCCTCTTTCTTCATTTTAAGGTTGCGCTGACTTTTTTCCTTGGAAAAGCCTCTTAGCCGCCACTTTGGCATTCCTGCTGGTGGAGGCGTCTTTCCTCTATCCCTGTCCTCATTTCCTCCCACCTGCTCCCTGGAATCCTGCTGACTGTTTTCCTTGGAAAAGCCTCTTAGCCGCCACTTTGGCATTCCTACTGGTGGAGGCGTCTTTCCTCTATCCCTGTCCTCATTTCCTCCCACCTGCTCCCTGGAATCCACAGGCACTATTCCTAGTTCACACATAGTCTTGGCAGGGCTTGAAGATCCAGGGCCCTCAGGAGTAGTTCTGTGTAACTGCTGCTTTCTTTGTGTGAGCTCTGGGTCTATCCAATGTTCTAGATTATGAGAAGTTTAAGTTCATTTACGGAATGTCTGCTTGACTGCCAGGAAAACTAGTGATGTTTCCAGTTATTGTGACTATGGATATCTTTAAAAATAGATTATTTCCTCATTTATTTTAGATCTGTTAGGCGAAGTCCTGTCAACAAAAACGAGTAACCTAGCTGCTCTATTTCTAAACAGTCTAAACAAAAACAATTCATTTTCTCTTTCAAGGGAATGTTTACATGCAACGATGAATGCTCAGTATCAAACACTGGGATTACTTACGGTCCCCTTGTGCTCACAGACGTATTTTAATATGGAGTTTCCGTAAATACTTTCCGAAACAGGAAGAAAAAAAAAAAACACTATTACCTTTGCCAGACTTCTTGGTTTTGACATGTTTGCATTCTCTTCTTGAACTTCATCAGGGATTCGCACTCCAAAGGACCAACCTCCAAGCCTATTAACAGTAAACACTATGTTAGTGCTTCAACCAGGGAGAGAGGGACAGGACTTCTAACCAGAGGGTGCTCCACTCACAGTCACACTCGTGATAGTGGGCTTAGGACAGCAGCCAGCTGAGCATGTGTGGTCTGTGACATGACCACAGGTGCAGAGGCAGCATGCTGACAAAAGTGGCCTGGTTGTCATGCCAGGCGTTCAGGGAGGACATTGCTTATGGAAAAGGTCTGGATAAAGATGGCCACATTAGAAAGTGTCTTTATCAGAACTTCCCACTGCGTTAGGAAATGCAGGCTGTGTGAATGACATAGCTCTGATCATCAGCACTCTCATTATTTTAGTTAATGGTCATTTCCCTACAAATCCACTATTTGGAATTAGTTAGTCTGTCGATCTTTTGAGCTACCCTGGTTTGTCTTCCCTACTTGTACTTTCTTAATCTTCAATACAAATCTCGCCTGGCCCAGGAAGGCTCCAGAGTAGTTCAGTTTGGTTAGACGCTCCTTTTCTTTTGAGTTATCAAAACACTCTACATTTCCATCCATTGTACCAGTTACCATGCTGGGATTTTAATTGTCTATTTGCTAGTATTGCTTTTATGCTGCTGTGTGATTTCCTCTTGGTTAGAAGCTATATATTTTACCTACATTTGTCCATAGCCTATGTAGTATCTGCCACCTATTAAGCTTTCAGAAACATTAGAAATAAAGGTATAGGCTGGCTGGTTATCTCAACTGGTTAGAGCACAGTGCTATAACACCAAAGTCGAGGGTTCAGATCCCCATACCTGCCAACCACCAAAAAATAAAGAAAATGAACGAAAGACATGTATTAAACTTTGTTCCCCATACTGGCCAGCTGCCAAAAACAAAAAACAAAACAAACAGCAACAACAACAAAGAACTTTGTTTCCCACTCTCTGGATAAAAGGAGAGTAAAGAACCATCTTCTCCCACAGTGTCCCTACTCTCAGCAAAAATTGAGGCAAAGGAAAAAGATACCTTCCCACCTGCTTCAATTGAATTCATTCATTCAGCAGATATTGACTGAGCATCTGTCATGTCCCAGATACTATTTCAAGTTCTGGGCACACAACCTCCCCCCACCTTCAAAAAGCTAAACATCAGTGTTAGAGAAGAAAACCACCCCACTTCAAATAGCTAACAACTATCAGTGTTAGAGAAGAAAACCAGAGATTCTAGAAAATGTTTATAGACATTAAGGGGTGGGAAAGCAGACAGAGGCAGGGAAACCACCCTGGGGCAGGAGAGCTGATGTCCAGGGAGGATGATGGCATGGTGGAAAGGCAAAGATAAAAAGGGACAGTGACGGGTGATGGGGTGACCCAGGCAACATGGACAGCCTATGGGATGCCTTCATATGTGAAGCAATGTCATGCATTTGGGGGATTTAGGGAATTTGATGGTATGATGAACAGTGATGAGAAGTATCCATTCCTATCCCCCTCATCTGGACTCGCTCCCTTAGGCTCAAGGAAATTCAGCACAAAACAAAAGCTTTCCCCAAAATCACCTAAGAGGAAATTTAAGACACCACTTGAACCTGGGTTCCCATACTGGACGTTTCACAGACAAGGGAATTCTAAAAAGAGCCTATTACTTCATTATGCTGCTCACTCCTATCCTGTGTTCTCTGCAGCAGTAAAACCGCTTCTGGCTTTCCTGCTTCTACCACTGACAGAATCTCAATTGATATGATTTCCCCCAATGCTTACAACAATGAAAAAGCAGACAGGAACCTCATTAAGGCCAGCAGCATTTCTTTGGAATTTTTATGAGCACCAAGGTTAGTATTAGACTTTCTAAGTTTTTAAGAACATTAGCATTTGAAACAATAGATTTTCCAAAGTACTTCAAAGACCATGGACCCAGCAAGTGTTACGGGCACACCTTGGTCTTTCAGAAGGCACCAGCAAGTACTCCTCCACGTCGAAGCCCGAGAGATTGAGCAGCGTGTGGCCCAGGCGGTTGGTCAGGTAGGGAGCCCTGGCACTTCCATCCGGACACTTCTGTAAGTTTTCAAAGAAATAAAGTAGAAACTCAGCTATAACCTACAAACAGGTTTACTGCCATTACTTTAAACCAAATGTGACTCTTTCTAGCTTTCAATTTTTAATAAATTATCTGAGGCCTTTTACATGTTCTGATTTCTAAAATCTCTTGGAGGGTCACCTGCATTTGAAAATTATGTCAGAATTTCACTGAGACCTTTGCAGTCAATTTTATCTGAGAACTTCAAATCCTTTTCTGCATGTAAGTGTGGGCAGATTTTTAAGGACTCAAAAGAGAAAAATGTTTTTACTGTGGTGATCTTGCCTTTGATGAACCTGAGAGTAAGAAACAACTATTGGAAGCAAGACAAGCAGGAGAACTCAAAGGCATGTGCTTCCTTCCTAAGTGTCACAAGCAGAAATCAAGCAGCTCTGCTCCAGCGACTCTCTGGAGTCTCAGCACCAACCAAGAATCATGAAAGAATCACCAACGAAGGTAGGAGGTGGCCCACCCACACGGATGTCCCCTGCACTGTGATTTGTTTCTCAGAACAATTTAGGAAGGATAATACAGTAGAATAGAAAATGACTGTCTCTCTGAACGTGTCATTTCAGCTTTGAAGCTTATTTTGTCATTTTCAAAATGGAAACAAGAACAGCCTCGCCTAATGCACAGGTTTGCAGTTAGGTTCAGATACACACATATTTTACGTTCTTAATAGAAAGAATTTGGGAAAGACACTAAAAAGAATAATTGTTGTGATTATAATTCAGCCAAACTCTCACTTACATGTGAATTCTAAAAAAGTCAAACTCATAGAAACAAAGAGTAAAATGTTGGTGGTTAGAGGCAGGGACAGGGTAGGGGAAGCAGTTAGAGAAATGTTGGTCCCAGGACACAAAATTTCAGTTAGGAAGAACAGATTCAAGAGCTTTCGTGAAACATGGTGCTATAGTCAACAACAATGTACTGCATACTTGAAAATTGATGAGCGCAGATTTTGAGAGCTCTCACAACAACAAAAAAAAAAAGTGTGTGAGGTAACGCATATATTAAATAAACTATTTTAGCCATTTCAAAATGTACACATATATCAAAACTTCATTTGTATAACACAAATGCATAAAATTTCTACCTGTTAATTTAAATAAATAAGTAATTCAGCCAAACTCAATTATCTCACTCACAGACTAACATAACAACTCCTAAAGTGCCCCTGCCACTAGCTTTTTTCTCCCCAATCCACCTTACCCTGCATCAAGATATATCTTTCTAAAATGCTGTTTTCATTTAGATGACTCCCTTGCTGAAAAATTCAAGTTCTTATCAAGAATTCAAGTCCACTAGAACATGTCCTCAGCCTCTTTTTTTAACCCTTCTCTGTTCAGTTCTCCCCAAATGCACCACCCTCTGTAGTGAGCTGAATAATGANGAGGTCCTAAGAGGTCAAACAGCTGCCCAGAGATCACACTGAGGAAGGAAGGGTCTGCGAGGTCCCAGCAGGAGCCTGCCCTTGCCTGTACGGGACGGCCAGCATTACAACACTAAGTTAAAAACACTGCAGTCCTGTGAAAAGAAACTTGCCATCTCTATTAACCAGGTGAGCAAAGTATAACTTCCAGGTAACTTCTGAAACATCGAAAGTAATTTAAAGACTTCCTCAGTGCTACTCTCTTGGCTGACTGCG